ACTGGGCCTCGGGCGCCATCGTCGCGCTATCGTGAAAAATACTCTGCGCCGTCAGAACTTGCCGCGGGGCGCGACCGTCCGCACTCGGCTTCGGGCCCAGGCGCCCGCGCTGGCGCGCGTGCCTGCGCAGGCGACACATGTCGAATAAGATAAAGAAGTCACTTCCAATACGCATGAAACTTGCGCTTGCCATGCAAGCGCATTCGTTTGAGGCCGAACGCGCCGGCCACTGTCTCGCGACTCGAGTGGTTGCTCAGCAGCCGGCCACCAGGTATAATGGCATCGACTTGCCTAATTCCAAGTCCTAGTCTGCCGCCGCGGAGCGCGGCCATAAGCTGAGAGTAGATGTCTCCGACCGGCACATCTGGCCGCGCTTGGATTCTGCAGCGCTCCTCTCCGCCAATTGTAAGGAAACGCACTGATTCTCTTTCGAAAGATGCTTGCAGAAACAGTGGCGGCATCAAGTCAGGGACGTAACTCAACCCCGGACCCAACTCTGGAATCTCTCCGCAGGCGCAATCGTTGCGCCCTCGATGTCGTGCGTGCTTTTTGTTGCCCGATGGTCCAGGATGGTCTTCGATGGTTCTCGCCGAGAAAAAATGCACACGTCCGAGCGATACCCAGGGTCGGGGTGGTGTCTCCTCCCTTGAGGAGTGGCCCTCGGTGAGAGGCTCCGGCCTCCTCCTCCTCCTCCTCCTCCTCCTCGTTCTTCTCCTCCTCCTCCTCCTGCTCCTCCTCCTCGCTTTCCGTCCTCCTCCTCCTCCTCGTTCTCCTCCTCCTCCTCCTGCTCCTCCTCCTCGTTTTCCGTCCTCCTCCTCCTCCTCTTCCTCCTCCTCCTCCTCCTGCGCCTCCTCCTCCTCCTCCTCCTCCTCCTCCTCGATTATCAAAAAAACGGCGCGGCCATCGTCGTTGCGATCATCATCATCATCACCACCACCATCATCATCATCATCATCATCATCATCATCATCATCATCATCATCATCATCATCATCATCATCATCATCATCATCATCATCATCATCATCATCATCATCATCATCGCCATCATCATCATCACCAGCATCACCATCATCATCATCATCTCATTCTACTGCTCCTACTCGTGCTCATGCTCGCCTCCTTCTCCTCCTCATCGTCCTCCTCCTCCTCCGCCTACTCCTACTCCTACTCCTCCCCTGCCTCGTCGTCCTCCTCCTCCTCCCCAGTCTCCTCCTCCTCTTCCTCCTCCCCCTCATCATCATCATCATCATCCTCCTCTTCCTCCTCCTCCTCCTCCTCTTCCTCCTCCTCCTCCTCTTCCTCCTGACTCCTCCTCCTCTTCCTCCAAATCTGCTCCGAAAGCGAAACATGTTGGAAGAGAAAATGACCAAACCGCCTGAGACATCCCCACAAAATTCCGCGAACGGGACCCCGTGAAATACCCCCCCGCCGCCCCCCTTAGAGTGCTGAGACGAGCGAATCGCCTGAGACATCCTCCAAATCTGCTCCGAGAACGAAACATGTTGGATCAGAAAATGGCCAAACCGCCTGATACATCCCCACAGAATTCCGCGAACGGGACCCCGTGAAATACCCCCCCGCCGCCCCCCTTAGATTGCTGAAACGAGCGAATCGCCTGAGTCTGAGTGATGACTGAGTCTGAGTGATGAGAGAGCATGAGTGAGTCTGAGTGATGAGTGAATCTGAGTGGTGAGTCTGAGTGATGAGTGGTGTGTCTGAGTGAGGACTGAGTCTGAGTGATGAGTGAGTCTTGATGAGTGAGTCTGAGTGATGAGTGGGTGGGGAATCAAAACCCCCATCTTTGGATATGGGGAATCAAGAACACCATCTTAGGATATGGGGAATAACTTACGTGTGTGTCTGAGTGATGGGTGTGGTGTTCTGTCCTGTTCTGTGTCCTTCCGGCGCGGTCCGCCAATAACAAGAACCCCATCTTTGGATATTGGGAAAAACGCTCACACCTAAGAGATGCAGATTTATCCTCACCCGACTTTTTCCTCGTCCTGGCCTCGTCTTAGGTGCATCCTCCGGGGCGGATCCAGGCACTCTGCGAGTAGTTAAGGGGCGTCTCTGGGTCCCGGGGGCCGTCGAGAGCGAGCGGTCAGGGGCAGAAGGCACGGGTCCATGGGAAGCCCGGGGGGACCGAAATGGGCACGGAAACAATGGGTACAGCGTCCAACAGCAGATGATCGTTTTTTATTATTTGTTTTGCCGATCGGCGCGGGCCCTCGGACCCGTCCCTTCCGCCCAATGTCGAAACGTCGAATAAAAAAAACGCTCACCAACCGTTTCGGTGGCGAGCGAGGGGAGAAAGTGAGAAGGAGAAGGCCTTCTCATAGGGCGGCGGGGTTTCTCAGAAGCGCTCCGGCCTTCTGAGAAGTTTTCTGTGTCTTCGGGGAGGCTTCGAAAACTTCTCAGAAGGCTTGGGGGCTCCGAGCCTTCCGAGAAGGCCCGCGCCTTGTCGGTGCCCTCCCTCGCTCGGCGCCGACGGAAGTTCGGGGGGACCGTAATGGGCACGGAAACAAGGGGTACGGCGTCCGACCGCAACCGAGGCGGCGACGAGGAGCCCGAGAGCACCCCGAACGGCACGCCGCCCAGGCAAAAAGGCCCCCCCCCCGAGGAAGGAACCCAAGGCCAAGCAAGCCACCACCCCGCGGGGTCGAGAACCCCAGCAGCCGCCAGGGGCCGCCCCGCAGACGCCCTGAACGCACAGGCACCCACGGCCCGAGCCAGGCCCAAGCTTTTCGAGCCAAGCCCAGCGCCTCGGCGGCCGCGCTCCTGCCGTCCGCCAGACCCTCGCCCTTCGGCGAAGTTTGGCCAGAGATTCGAGGTCTCACAGAGGGGCACTCGCGGCATTCAGAGCACCAGCGCCTCCAGCCCCGATCGCATTCCCGAGAAGAGGAGCGCCTTCTCGACCTCCTCCCTGCGGGCCTTCTGGTCCATGACCTGCTGGCAGTCAAGGGTGTTCTGCACCGCTACCTCCATGTTGCACCTGACACTGTCCTCGAACTTGTCCCGCATCTTCTCCTCCTGCAGGATGCTGCGGACGGTGTAGCAGTAGCTCGCAAGGCAATCTTTTGCCTCGAAATTGTCTTCGCGAAAACCGCGACCGAAGATCTTGAGAAGAAGCGGGTTGACGATGCCCTCTACAGTGGGGGCCCATGCCAAGAAACACCCTGCTTGTATCCAGGGTGCCCTGGTTTTCTTGGATTTGATGTTTTTCGATGGAAGGCGCGACGTTCCCACACCAAACACCAATGGACGTCCTGGGGTCTCAGGGTTGGGTTTCTTGTGGACGGTTTCTTGTGGTCGGGCCCCTGTAGCTCCTTCCGCTTGCCCTCGTAGCCTGCGGCGTCCGCTACCTTTGGCCACGCCAAGCCAGTGTAGGGTGTTCTGCACCGCCTCCTCGATCCTCTCCTTGCCCCCGTTCTCAAGCTGCTCCTGCAGCTTCTCCTCCTGCATGGTGTTGCGGGTGGTGAAGCAGTAATCCATGAGGCTGGCATTCGCGATGAAGGCGTCCTCCGACGTGGACTGGTATTTCTCCGCGTTCCCGGCCTGCGGCAAGGTCGACCCGACCATCTTGATCTCGGCCTTGGCGCCGAAGACCGTGTCGGACACGCTGTGGGGGCCGTCCGCGTCGCTGGCGTACGTGGAGCTCTCCGAGCCGTCCACCTTCTTGACCCTGGTCGTACAGTGCCGTTTTTAATACATGCTCCGCGTGCGGATCATGTATTAGACATGCAGGGATTTAGTATTACAAACAACGATGAGTTCATGCATACATTTATTCATACATCGATCATGCAATCAAACAATCAATATTTGTAAACATCCCATGTATTAAAAACTACCCTGTAATGTCGCCACCGATCCGCGCCGCCGCGCCAGGGTGGCGCACGAGGGCGGCAGCGGCGCCAGCGCTCCCGGCATCGCGCACCGCGCGGCTGGGCAGGCGGCCGCCACCGGGCGCGGAGGCCCTGCAGCCCCCTCGGCCGCTGCCTCGCCGCCGAGGGCTGCCGCGGTGGCCGACGCGGCGAGCGCCGCCGACGCGCCGCGGCCGCCGCCTTTCGGCGGCGCGTGGCAGCTGCGCCGCGGTCGCCTCCACTGGCCCAGCCGATCAGTGCGCGACCACGGCGCCGACACGCACAGCGGCGGAGCTCTTGCCCCCCCGAAGCCATCGGCCGCACCGCGCGCCGCGGGGCGCCGCGAGAGGGCCGATGGGGGCGCGCAAGCCGCCTGAGCCCAGATTTCTACGGAGGAGGAGGAGGAGGAGGAGGAGGAGGAGGAGGAGGAGGAGGAGGAGGAGGAGGTGGAGCTGGAGGTTGGCGAGGAGCACAAAGGGGCCCTGCTCGACCTCTTCTCCGCAGGTCTTCGGAGGTTCCGGAAGGTCGCTGGAGGCCTCGCAAAGAAGACGAAGCAGCCCTCAAGCCCTCATCCTGGGCACGAGTGCCGCCCTGGTCGCCTGGCCAGGGCCTGGCGCTGCAGAGTTTCCCTCCCGGATGCCCCCCAAACCTCTGTCACCAGCCTGCGTGGCTTGGTGCCCAGCGCAGCTGGCCTGCCCTTCCTCATTGAGGAAGGCCCCCAATCAGCCCGCGCTCCAGACTCCTGTTGCGATATGCTGTCTGCCCCACTCGACATCGGTCCTCCCTCCACCTCCACCTCGACCCTGAACCCGGACCTCGATCTCGGACTCCATGCAAGGCCCTACGGGCCCTCCACTTGGGCCTCGGCGCCCCTCGATATATCCAAGCCCTCGACCTTCGAAGGAGGGCCAGTGGAGACAACGGCCGCTCTCCTGCCAGGCCCAAGTCCGCTCAAAATTGTTCCCTGGACCCCTCCCAGAGTTTATCCTGACTCGTTTTTCGAGGCGGATCCAGCCGTGGCGACGAGCAGTCTCTAAGAGGCTCAAACATCGTCGTTGTCTCGACGGGCCCTTTGCCGAGAATCTTCAATTCCCCCAAACGCCTATCCCCCCTTGGTCTGGACCGAGGCGCCTCATGACCAACATCATGCCGCTCGCGGATGCTATCGTTAACGGCCCGCCCCCGTCCTTCGTCCGCGAGGACGCTGGAGTGTCGGCCTTGGCGCTGGAGGAGGAGAAGGAGGAGGAGGAGAAGGACCAGGAGGACGAGGCGGAGGCTGAGAAGGAGGACGAGGACGAGGACGAGGACGAGGACGAGGAGGAGGAGGAGGAGGATCAGGGGCAACGGGAGGGGGGGAGATAGGCCCAGGGGGGGCAACATCGACCTCCCTCAATCGCCCGCTCATCGCCGATCAAGGCCTCGGTACCCCAGGCTGCCCGGGATCGTGTGGTTTCGCTATCGTGGACCAATCGCCGATCTGTCGGCAATGTATCACCGAGGTCAGGTCGCCGCTCCCCATCCCTCCCTGAGTCGGTCCCCCCGTTCGTTCGTTCGTCCTCCCGTAGAGGAGGAGGAGGGAAGAAGGACTCGCCACGAACCACACGGGTGCTGCAGGAGAGGGATCCTCGAGGTTTTGGGCCACCTTTGTGCTCCCAGAGCACACCCCGCCGGGCCGTCCAAAAATAACTCGGGATGATAATCTGGTCCCAGGAAAGGGCCGTGGGTCCGGAGCCCGCTTCCCTCATGACCCCATGCCCTCCCTCATGGCAAGGAAGTAGCGTTGAATATGGATTGGCCTGGGTTCTCAGGCACAGGCAGGTCCGAAAAAGAAGGTGGTGAAACACAGGATGCACTACCCATGGGGAGCAAACTTCCAGATCCGCTCGGTCTCGCGGGCACACGCACGGCTCAGCACCAGCCCAGTGGTAGTAGCAAGCCGCTGAGCACGAGCGCGTTGATGACAAGGAGGCCCAGAGTCCTGATCAGCGCCGGTTTCATGAGAAGGAGCGTCACGATCACCCGCAGCGCCCCAAGCAGAGACGCATACCCCACGGACAATATGATTTGCTTCACGATGAGCATCAGCATGAGCTCGGGGACCGGCGCCGATGCACTCCTCAGCAGCAGCTGGTGCTCGGCAGCACGACACCCACCAGCAGCAGCTGGAGGAGAAGGAGCGTATCGGCGATGAGCCCGATCACTACGAGCAGGGTCAGGATCGAGGCGAACAGCAGCGGCTTAATCACGTGCGCCGTGCTCCTCTTTGTCCACGCCCGCCAGCCGAGCGGCAACAGCAGGACGACCTGCACCAGCTTGCCGAACAGCCTGAGAGCCCACTTCAGCATTGCCGGGCCCAGCGCCGCCACGCAGCTGCTCAGCGAAGGCGGCGCCAATCCTGGACGGGTGACAGCCGCGGTGGTCGAGCGCGTCAAAACAGCGCAGCAGGCGCTGCACTGCGCACGCATGCGCCTGGTCGCTTTGAGCGCGGCGCGCAGCAGCCGCACGGCGACGCCGGCCAGCGGCTACCCACGGCGGAGGAGCCATGGAGGGAGGGAGGAGGGCGAGAGAGACGGCAAGGGAGGAGGAGGGGGGGGAGGGGGAGGAGGTGGAGGAGTGAGTGAATGAGTGAGTGAGTGAGTGAGTGAGCGAGCGAGCGAGCGAGCGAGTGAGTGAGTGAGTGATTGAGTCCTGGAGCCACTTCGGCCCAATATCTCGTGGCCTTCGGCCCATCCCGCCTCTGTGCCTGGGTTGTGGGTCAGAGCTCTCATGGATGCTTCTTGGGGTCTCTCTGGAGCGCCCTCGGGGGCCTCTTGGGGGCAGTTGTGGGGCCTCTTCTGGCCTCCTGGGGGGCCTCTCGGGGCCCAGGGCTCGCAATGTCCGTTCGGGTCCCCCATCTGGGCCCCTCGTGGGGCGGTCTTTTGGGCCCTCTCGGGCCGTCTTGAGCGCCTCTTGGGCCGTCTTGGGCCCTCTTGGGCCACTTTGGGGCCCTCTTGGAGGCCTCTTGGGCCGTCTTGGGGCGATCTTGGAGGCCTCTAGGGCCGTCTGGGAGCGTCGGGAAGCCGACAAAAACTAGAAAGGCAAAACCCTTTTCAAACACAAGACAATTAATGATTTTGGCCTCTTGCGGCCCTCTTGGGAGGCCTCTTGGAGGCATCTGGCGGCGATCTTGGAGGCCTCTAGGAGCGTCTGGGAGCGTCGGAAAGCCGAAAAGGCGAGAACGCCAAAAACACTAATTTTGGCCTCTTGGGGCCTCTTGGGAGGCCTCATGGAGGCCTTTGTGGGCGTCTTGAAATTCTCTTGGGCCGTCTGGGGACCATCTGGGGAGACATTTGGGCGTCTCGAGTCCAAACCATCTTGGGAGTCTCTTGAAGCTCTCCTGGTTGGCTGCGGAGCCCTCGAACCTCAGGGGGTGCGCGGCCGGGCCCCTGAAGAGCCCCCAGGATCGAGGACTGAGAGCTCAGGGGATGGGGCAGTGGACCCGAGGACGCGCCCGCTCCGTGCCCGGCGGCGCGGTGGCGGATCTCGCCGTGTGCAGGGCTCCGAACCCTCCGCTCGAGGCAAGGCCCAGGGGTGTCCCCGCCTGGCGCCACCGCGAACCTCGCCGGGCACCCATTCGGAAGCACTCTCAGCTCTGGACCATACAGGCCTCGGACAAAAAATAGCGAACACTCATGCCACATTCATCTGTGAACGCCTCCCCCTCCCCCCAATGTTCAAAGTTGGCGGTGGGTCTGATGAGTTGCACCCCGACCGCAGTCTCCCCCCCGCGTGCCAACTTCGAGTTTTGGGGGCAGGGGGGGTGTTCACTAATTGTTTCCCTCTACCGAAGCACTCTCAGCTCTGGACCATGCCAGAGTCTGCTGGCGCGGACAAGGCCAAGCACACTCTGCAGGTCATCGCAAATTCTTCTGCGCACCACACGGGGAGGTACTGCTGTGGCAGGTGGCGAGCAGACCCTCGCCACGTGCCCGTGGCGCCAGTGCGGAAGGCACTTCAGGCTGCTGAGTTGAGGTTGTGCAGTCGCTGCAAAGGGCCGCCCCACGCCAAGGGAGCCTCTCCTTCCGAAGCCTTCCGCGGCCTCGTCAAGGCGGCCGCTCTCCCGCGCCACCCCGTCGAGGGTCGTGCACGGCAGCCTCAGCGGGCGCGGCGAGCCGTGGGCGATGCGTATCGTTCAACCCGCCCGAGACCTGGCCAGCCTTGGCGGCCAACTCGGGGGGCGGTGCGGATCCGGACAGAGGAGGAGGAGGAGGAGGAGGAGGAGGAGGAGGAGGAGGAGGAGGAGGAGGAGGAGGAGGAGGAGGAGGAGGAGGAGGAGGAGGACGGAGGAGGAGGAGGAGGAGAGAGGAGGAGGAGGAGGAGGAGGAGGAGGAGGAGGAGGAGGAGGAGGAGGAGGAGGAGGAGGAGGAGGAGGAGGAGGAGGAGGAGGAGGAGGAGGAGGAGGAGGAGGAGGAGGAGGAGGAGGAGGAGGAGGAGGAGGAGGAGGAGGAGGAGGAGGAGGAGGAGGAGGAGGAGGAGGAGGAAGAGGAGGGGAGGAGAGAGGAGGAGGAGGAGGAGGAGGAGGAGGAGGAGGACGAGGAGGAGGAGGAGGAGGAGGAGGAGGAGGAGGAGGAGGAGGAGGAGGAGGAGGAGGAGGGAGGAGGAGAATGAAGAATCGAGAAACTATCGTGACCCGTGCCCTCGCGTCGCCGCTCTCCGATCCTGAGATCCCAGAACTGAGGAGCAGCGGCTAGCCTCGATGAGGAGGCTGCAGTGGCAGCTCGATCTCGATGGGCGCAGGCAGGCGGTGGCCGACAGCGATGTCCCCGTCGAGGCCGCCGAGCATGCGCGAGATCACGCAGGGAGCCTCCTGCGGAATGCAATCGACGAGGCCGCCGAGCACGAGCCTCTCGCGGAAGGCCGTCGACGAGGACGACGACGACGGCGACCGACCAACGATGAGGGCGCCCGACGCCCGATGCCTTCAGCAAGCACCGACGGCGACGACGCCCCAAAAAGCCCGAGCCGCCGGGCGAGGACGGCGCTCGCCGGGGCCCGCGGGCTCACTCTGCGCGACCACCCGCCCGGCCGCCTCGCGTGCCCCTCTTCGGGCCCCTCCAGGGGAAGCCCCATGGGGGCTCGCTTCGGCACCGTTTGGGCACCCTTTTCGGACCACCCCCCGCCGCCCCCCCCGCTTAGGACCCGCACAGTGCGCCACGCCCACTCGACCTGCCCTCTGGGGCCCGCCCGCCCGACCCGCCCGCGTGCGGGCCCGGCCCGCCCGAGCCGCCCGCGTGCGGGCCCGCCCGCTCGCAACTGGCGTGCGAGAGCCCGCCCGCCTGGCCTCTCGCCCGCCTCGGCGAGCCCGCTCGCCACAGGGGGGCCCGTCCGCGCCCGGTCCGCCCGCCTGTGGGGGGCCCGCCCCTCGGCGAGCCCGCCCGCCCGACCCGCGGCGGGCCCCGCCGGCCCCGACCGGCTTGTGCAGGCCCGACCGCTCGCTCTCATGACCCAGGGGCAGCGATAGGGGGGGGGACAGGCATGGGGTCGAGGCGGGCCTGTGCCTTGTCCCTCTTTGCAACAGGGAATGTTCGAAAACAGTTTCATAAAATAGTCTGGGGACGATGTTTTGACTATGTTTGAGCACTTCTCTAATATTTAGTTTTTTTTTGTTTTTGTTTTGCTACTTGTGATTTTTTCTTCCAAACTCCCCTGTATGGGGGCCAGGCCCGACCTGCGCATATAGGGGGGGATGGGCCCGATGGCCCCAGCCTGCCCGGAGAGGTGCGGATTCGCTGTCGGGGGCTCGTCGCCGATCTATCGGCGATGTGTTGCCGATTCCAGGTCGATGCATCCCCCCCTATGCCAGTCCCCCCCCTGTCGCTGCCCCTCCATGACAGCCGCCCGGCCCACACGCGCCGCCCGCCGACCCGCTCGTCGTCGTCAGGGTCCGCCCGCGCCACCCGGCCAGTGGGGTCCGCCCGCACGACCCGCCCGTTTGGGCCGCCCGCTCGCCGAGACAGTTCCGAACACCGACATCAATCATCGCCTTGAGCCTTTCTTCCTCTGAGAAGCGAGCGTGACAGTCCTCTCTTGTTTGAGTGTCTATCTGCTGTCCGCTTACAACGCAGAGTACTGCTACCATTGTTGTGCTGCGGGAGATGGGATGAATAACTTTTCATTATCTTGTCATGCCAAGTTCTGCTTGATGATACGTATATTGCCACGCAAATGCATTACTGTCGTGGCTACTACGCTCTTACCATCACTGCCGTGGTCATTTTGCGCAGCATCAGCGTGCTGCTAATTTGCCTGGGGTTTCTGTTGATGCAACTTGAACTTTAGTGGGGCATCCCGCTTCTGTGCTCGGGATTTCCCAGCTTGGGGTTCTTAGTTGTTGGCGGAAGAGCTGGTGGGTCCGGCGTGGCCAGCGGAAGGTGGCCCTTGGGGTTCCCTGGATTGCCCCATTTTGCCCGATTGCCTGGCGTTCCCAGGGATTGCGCGGGGGTTGCCTGATTCTGGCCATGCCAGGCACTGCCGAGCAATGCTAAGCCAAGCCAAGCATCGTCCAGCATAGCCAAGCAGTGCCAATCAACGATTTCAAGCAGTGTCAAGCAATGCGACACCAATACCAGGCAATGCCAGGCAACCTCAAGCAAGGCCAAGCAATGTAAAACCAATGACAAGTTAATGCCCAGCTTTGCCAAACAATACCAATGGATGCCAAGCAGTGCCAATCAATGCCAAGCAGCGCCAACCAATGCCAAGCAGTGCAAACATGTACAAAGCAAGGCCAAGAAATGCCAGGTAGTGCCAAGACATGCCAGATGATGCGAAGCAATTGCGAGCAATGCCAAGTAACGGCAAGTAACGAGTCCAAGCAATGCCAAGCAACGCCAAGCAATGCCAAGCAATGTAACGCACTGCCAATCCAATACCAAGTGACGCTTTGCATTTCATTGCTTTGTACTGCTCGGAACTAGTTTGAATGGTTAGAAGACAGAAGCCCAACCAGAAAGCACTTGGCATTCTGCCGAGCCTCAGCGCGCCAGGGGGCACGGTGGCAAATTTCAAGCGCGAGAAGCAGACGTTACGTACTGCTGGCAGGCGGAGACTCGCAGACGGATGCACCGCAAGCGCAGCGAGCGTATGACGGTACCCCTGACCTCCTCCTTCTCCTCCTCGACGTCGCTAAACAAAATGCAACCACGTGTTAAACACCGCGACTGGACCCTCGACCCCACCTTTCCGCGGCAGTTTTTTTCGAGCCAGATCGACGTGTACTGGTGTCCCAGAGCCCGATAACTGGGCGGAAACACCCAGGCTGGTGAGCGTTTTTTTATTCGGTGCTTCGACATTGGGCGGAAGGGGGGGGGGAGGTGTGTGTGTGTGTGGCTCCAGACATCTGCTTAGTGCGACTGTTTGGGACCGTGCGTCCTATGGGGGAGACTCCACCTGCTCGAAACAGGCGCCAAGAACAGCCAAGATCTACTCCACGGCATAGGGGGGAGGGGGGGGGGTGCGAGGGCCCGCGCCGATCGGCAAAATAATGCATAAAAAACGCTCACCTGAAAGAATCGTAACGCCCGGATGTTAGGGTAGGAGTTTCAATACGGGCCGATGGCGTATTACAGCAAGCATTCACGACATGCTGAGCGATAAGGACAGACGTCCCCAGCCCAGTGGTCCCTCTTAAGTGTAGTTTTTTGCCGTCGCCGGCCTCGCGCTTCTAAGGTCCTCGTCACGCTGGGCCGGTACTTCCCCAAGCTCAAGATGGTCCCAGGTGGATTCTCCCTTGTCCCCCTACCCCCCCCCCTGTGCGGCGTCGTGGGGGTCCGTCGTCCTTCGGAGGCAGTGCTGGTCCTGCCAGTGGGGGCTGCCCCATGCTGTCAAGGTTGACCCGCTCACCCATAAGTCGGGCTGCGCAGATTCGTGGCCAGTGTCGGCGTGAGCAGAGTAGCTCCTCCCAGATCCACTGCCCCCTTGGCCCCCCCGGCTCCTAGCCCTGCGGGCCACCCTCACGGTTTTTATATTTGCCTGTCCGCCTCTCCTTGCTACGGGGCCCAATCATATATACCACCACCGCCTCCCTCACCCCCTCCCTCTCCCAAGGAAGGGGAGAGGAAGAGGAGCCTGGAGGAGGGGAAGGGGGATGAGGGTGGTGGTGGTGGTGGTGGTGGTACTTGGGGCCCGCAGTTGACACCGCGTGGACCAGAGATGACAACGGCTCCTTCTTTTCCACTCCCCTCCTCCCTCCTCCCTTCTCTATTTCCGACGGCTCCCTGCGTCCGCCTGCCGCATTGGGACGTCGCCGCGGGCTGGCTGGGGGTTCACGGTTCTCCAGGCCGAGCTGGTGCCAGGCTCCGCCTTTGGCCCGCTGACAGGCTCACACGTCGCCTCGGGCCGAGATGTACTGCGCTGCAGGTCTTGGTCGTCGGCGTGGCCCCGCTGCACGTCTGCACGGACCACCTGCCGCTGGTCGAGGGCTTGGTGCACCAGCCCACGGCGCGACAACGTCGACCTCTGGAAGCAGCTGTGGCACTACGTCGATGACCAGTGCGGGATTGGCTTCGACGACTCGGCCGCCGTGCCCCTCACTGAAGTCAAGGGCCATCAGGCGGAGGTCACACGGGAGATGCTCGGCAACGATCTGGCGGACGAGGTGGCCAAGTCGGGCCGGCGGCTGCACGGTGCGGCGCCGTGGCGAGGTGCTGCGGCGTGTGCAGCAGGTCGCCGCCTGGATTGGCAACGTCAGCAAGCTCGTGCTCAGGGGCGAGCTGGCGGCAGAGCGCGTGGCGCGGCCGCGGCGCCGCGCGCAGGCAGCCCCGGTGAGAGGCGCAGCCTGAGCGCCTCGCCTCGGCCCACGGCCGCGGCGACGTGCCGCCGCCCGCGCCGGCACACCCGCACCTCTCGAGTCTCGTGCGGCGCCGAGGACGCCGCCGGGTCTGCGACCGCTGTCCGCGCTTCGTCCGCACGAGTCCTGGGGCCCGATCCTCCTCCGCCTCCGCCTCCGCCTCCTCCTCCTCCTCCGCCTCCGCCTCCGCCTCCGCCTCTCCTCCTCCTCCTCCTCCTCCTCCTCCTCCTCCTCCTCCTCCTCCTCCTCCTCCTCCTCCTCCTCCCCCGAGGTTTGGCCACGGCATGGTGGCCGAGGCGGTGGCCCCTGGGCGGAGGATGGTGGTTCGCCCGCGGCTGACGCTGGCCCTGGAGTTTCTCGGCCCCGTCCCCTGCGCCCGCGGCTCCCGGGCTCGAGCACGGCCTGACGGAGGCCCGAGAGCCTCGGCCACTGCCCTGGATTTTTGGGCCCTGAGCGGTCCCAGGTTTTTTCCTGCGGGGGAGGTTTCGGGCGGAGGCCGAGCAACGAGCTCTCGACCTTTCGGACCTGCGCACGCCGTTTGCGCCCAGGCCGCTCGGAAGTGCTCGTGCCGGGACTCCCCAGGCCCGATCCGCTTCTCCCCTCGGGTGCGTCCTCTAGTGACGGCCACCTCTTGAGGCAGGGGTGCGGGAGACGATCAGGAGGATGGTGGGTCGGCGGCCCTTGTGGGTCCCCCCTCCCAAGGTGCCCTGCCAGCCCCAGCCCCTCAAGAGACCTGGGAGTCTTGTGGGGGCGCCGCCCCCTACGAAGGCTCCTAGGGGGGGCCCAGCAGGCTGCCGCGAGAGTGGCGAGGGAGGCCAGCCTGCCCGATCGTCCCCTGCCTGCTCAGGGCCCCGTGGGGCTTGCGAGCGCCAGGGGGCATCCTATTCGCCTTGTTGGCACCCTCGCATTTTGCCGTCGGTGCGGCTCCCGTGCCAAGGCCTCCGCTTGCAGGTCTCGCTTGTGGGATCCTTGCCAGGGTTTTGTGTCCAGGAAGGGTACAGTGGGTAAAGGCCCCATCTCGGGGGAATGGCTGGGGGACCCCAGGCCGCTCCTTGCTCAGGATGATGCCTGTTTTCGACTTCGTTTTCGGTAGCTCGCCCGCGTTCGAAGTCGCTTTGCGCGCGTTTTCGCTCACTGGAGCTGCTTCGCTCGTCGAGTTGCGCTCGCTTCTTTTGTCCTCCTGATCTTGCCACCCCTCGCCCTTGCCCACGCGCGCTCGGACGTGTAGGTTATGCTACGCTCAGCCACACGCCGAAGCGCGCAGGCGAAAGCAGAAAAATAAGTGGGACGCCAAAGCACCAGGCATCGCGTACAATGTACATAAAGCGTGCTACAGGTAATCGCCTTCTCCACAGTTGTTTGCAATGTTTGCAGCACTAGTTCGCCATGCGATGGGGTCCTGCAGGCGCTGCGACCAAGAGTGCTCCAGGTCAAGATGAGCAACCCACATCTTGTGTATGCATTTGGCCCGTTCGTGTTCGGGTTGGCTCTTCTCCTTTGATACGCATTCACGACTGAATGGACGCTGTCTGGTTGAAAAGTGGGTCGCTCGCCGAAGAAAGTCTGTATTGGGAGTCCGACCAATTCTGCCAAATAGTAGATATGTTGTTGAAGAAGTTGTTCGCTGTACTGAATTTGCGGAAGGTCTTCGCGGCCACGCTCAGCAGCGTCAGCTCGTCGAGGGAGCTGTCGTGGGCCAACCTGTCACCAACACTCTCTGGTCTGGCAGCAAAGATCCCGACAACCGGTCAGAGTATTTCATCTCAGCCGGAAACGAGAGGGAGTACAAGGAAAGTACGTGACCGTGTACAAATACAAAAATCGGCAAGATAAGAACTCGGCTGGAGTATTTCATCTCAACCAAGAGCGAGAGCAAGTAGAAGAATGTGTACGTGACCGTCTACGAATACATGAGGGCCCTCGCCTGTAGAACTCGTAGCAAAAACTGGCCAGATCGCGAACTCCAGCCGGAGTACCTCATCTCAGCCGAGAGCGAGATGTCGTAGAAGAAGTGCACGCGAATTATGAGGCCGTCGAGGCGTCCCTGCTGCCTGCTGTGCAGCACCCGCGAGGCGGTGGAAGCCGAGGCTCCCGCCGCCCCTGGGGGGGCCGGGCACCGCCACCCTATAATAGGCCCCAGGGCCGCAGAGGGTGGGCAGCGGCGCCTGCACGAGGGCCCACCAAGAAGACCCCAACACCCCCCAAAGAGCTCCAAGAGGGCCCCTAGATACCCCAAAAGAGCCCCAAGAACAGCCCAAGACCCCCACCCCCAAAAGACCCCCCCCCCGGCACGAGGGCCCACCAAGAATCGGGGCCCAAGAGACGGGGGTCAGTGCAAACGGGGGTCCGCCAGAGCGCCAGATCCTGCAGGATCCTGCGACGGTTGCCTCTGGCTGACTCGTGGCCAGCGAGCCGCTCGTGGCCGCGAGGCGGCCGCTCGTATTGGCTGACCCGGGTTTGCGAAGACCTGCGTTGCAGCTTTTTTTTGTTGTTTTTGGTTTTTTGTTTTCTCCCTGCACTGCAGTTTTTGGTCTGACCCGGGTCTGGATTGACCCGGGTCAGAAGATGCCCGAAAGAACCTGCCCCGCGGCCCATGCACGGGCTAGCGGCGACCACCGCCGCCCCGGCCCCCGGCCGTCCGAGCACTCTTGCGCTCGGGCCCCTGGTCGTCGTCCTCCCCGACTTTCCCGGCGAGCCAGTCAACCAAGCACTTCACGAGCGGGCCGTCCTCAAGTCTTGGTCGGGGCCACCGTGAGGTTGTCGTGCCTGGTCTCGTACGCTGCCACGACGACGAGGGCATCACGAAAGTCCTGGGGCGCAGCCGTGGCCACCACGAGGTACCACGTCCACGCGCGCTGCGGGTCCGAGTGCGGATCCGGGTGCTTGCTCTTCAGGTGGATCGATGGCTGGGCCGTCCATGTCGTTGAGGTACTTGAGAGCTGCCTGCACCCGCTGCTCGTGCGGGTTCGCGCCGTCGTCCATCTTCTTGTAGGTCTCCTTCATCGTGACCGTGACCACCACGCGCGCGAAGAGGACCACGCGCAGAGACGACCCGGAGGGATGTGGTCCCCCGTCGCCTGGCTTGGCATCCGTCCACTCCTTCCGCTGGGTCACCACCTGGGTTGTGACTTCTGGGTCTTTGAGCACCATCGCGATCGTGAACCGATCCGCCAGCTCGGCGATCGACCTGTCGTGGGCCACCAACAACTGCGCCATGGCTCGCTGGGCGCCTCTGGGGCGCGCGCCGGCCTTGGCCGCCGCCACTGGCTGAACCGCTCCGGCCGCTCCCCCGGCGTTCGCGAGAATCAGGTTTGCCATGGCTGTCGGGGGGGAGAGATGTCTCACGAGCGTGCCGCTCCGAAACCTCTGCAGGCGAAAGCATGTGTTCGTACTTTCGTACTGACCGACCGGCATGCTGTTGGCAACACATCGTTTGCGGCATGCTCCCGAATGCACACGGAGAGGAAATATGCTGGGGTATCGGACGCCACAATGTTCACAACACATGTTCCACTGCAACACAACATCGCGGCCATAGCGCTGCACCTGGGACGAAAGAATCCGCTCTCTGGCAGCCTGCACAGGGGGGGAGGGGACAGGGGGGAGGGATGGGGAGGAGGAGGGGTAGAAAGAGGAGGGGGGAGGGCAGGGGAAGCGGAAGAAGAGGCCGCAGAAGCAACAGCAGGAGGGGAGGGAGGGAGAGAGGGAGGAGAGGAGGGGAACAAGATCCCAAACCTTGTCGTGGTGTCCCGTCGCTGCCACGACCTGGCCGGCAGGCGCCGGCCGCCCCTTCTGCCTGCGCTATTGCTGGCGCGCCGTCACGGTACGAGGACTCTCCCCTACGGCCTTGCAGCTCAGCCGCTGGTGTTGTTTCAACTGCGACGCTGCACCTGTGTGCTGTATGGCGGGCACGGAACAAGCTCGAGAGA